TGCCAGTTACAAGAGGCATAGCTGTCACTTTCCAGGGAGATTAACTTGCTTTGTGGAATACTGACGGGGACCGGAGAAGGGCCAGACCCACACAGAATGCAGGGCCCTCCCATTCATGGCAACCTGAAAATCCGAAAGAGTTAATCCAGGGTTTGTCCTTTGCACCAGTGCACACAGTCCAGAGTAAACTAAGCCGAAGGAGGGAATTTAGGGAAGTCGCAAACACAAACTAACATGAATTTTTATCATCTCTGTGGCACCTGGTGCCCAGACTGGTCATCCCTCGGAGGCACAGGTCCTAGACCTCTAGTGCCCAGAGTCCCCACTCTCTACTAAGCCAGCTGGACCCCTGAAGATGGTTTGGGGTACAAACATTGGCGTAATGATGGCTCTGCCTGACTTCAGAATATTGGGGAACTCTGTGGGTAGGAAAGGCAGGTGAATTGAGGAAAAGACAAAGATCCAAAATGCCAAGCGATGTTCCCTGCCAGTGGAGACAGTTTTGCATTTCCACCTGGGGCTCTACACTGTGGTCAGATCTGTAAACACCACAGTGCCTGGCTGGCCGTCCCCTAGCGGGACTTCTTTTAACCACTACATTTTGCCCTGTGGCCTTAGATGTTATCAGCCTGGTGTTTAAATGTATCTAAAGTGACCCTCAGTACCCTTTCCAATATTGTACTGCTCAGCACAGACAATGCCAAGAAAAAAAGTGCTGTGACTACATTGTCAGAGAGTGAATGTGTCTATGTGGAGCCCCGGGAGGCTACGGAAAGAAGTGACAATACAAATTATTTTCTTTTACATTCTTCCTAATTTTTAGACAAGCTGGAATAGGCACACAAACTGGGGATGTCATGAGAAATTATAGAATCAAAGTTGCTTTTGAAAAGTCCACTTTTGTAATAAAACCATTGACTTACAGAGAAGAAAACTTGGGAAACTGCCTAGCACCCCTCCCCCAGTTACAGTGCATTGGAAACTTCTTAGAGAAGGGACAAACGCTTCATCTGTTTTCTGCTCTTAATCAGGTTCTGAGGCATGAGAGCAAGAGAAATGGGGGCCTCTTTCCAAAGCCTGGGCCAGCCTGACTCCAGTTCTTTCCCCAGGCTACCTGAGTTTAGCTGCTCTCTTCTCTGTTTCTCCAGGGGAGACTGACAGCCCTCCTTTCCATTTAATTCTTCCCCAAGTTGTTGGAAAGAGCCGTTAGTTTCTGTTTTATTCTCCGCCTGTGAGACCTTGGGATGAAATACTCTCGATACACCACAAAGCCTATTACTATTTTAAGTACCTGCATCTTCCAGGAGAAGGAACACACTGGCTCTCTGCAGGAGAAATAAATGGAGTCCGCTTTCTGGCTGGCACACTGTCTCGGGGAAAACATTTAAAAAGACACGGATCTTCTTGTTCTGTCTGCTGCTGAAAATGTGTCCATATCTAGTAAAGCCACGCACAGATTTCCGAAGCATTAACACGCCTCGCACTCTCTGCTACACGTTTGTGTTTTTTTGGTTTGGGGGTTTTATTGTGTTTTTTTGTTGTTGGTTTTTGGCGCAAAAGAACACAGAAAGGAGAGGATCCCGGGGTGTTGATAAAATGCATTTTCTAAGATGTGCGTAAGAAGAAACATGTTCTTTCTCTTAGTTTGGTGTCTTGTTTCACGGCTCGGGCTACCTGCCTCCCCCGTGGTATGTGCTGAGGACACCCCAGGCCCCGCGAGCGGAGCAGCCGCAGACGCAGTCTGTCTGTCCTGCTTCCCCACCGCAGGCTCTCGCCGAGGTTTGTTTGTCCCTTCCTTTTGTGTTCTTGTCAAGACTGACAAGCATCCGTGTGGTACCAAGTGACGCGACGTTCTTGCTTGGATAATCATGACTGGAATTCAGGATTTTCAAAGTGCATTGTTGACTCAAAGAGCCACCCACGAGATTGGCCTCTTCTGGGCTGACTGACAGCGCCCGTGAGGTGGTGCTTTCACCCCAAATGGCCAGGTCCCCCCATGTCGCCTCCCCTGTGGCTCTGGTGTTGGAATCCTCATCTCGGTGTTATTCGTTGCATTGCAAAAAAGGTTTTTTATTAATGTTACACACGACCCCATATTTAGGAATAAAACTGAGAAAAAGCAGACGTAAGAAGAGACTCTGAAAGTTCTGTTTATTTGAAGCGAGCGGCACTGTCTCATTGACCTACCCTCAGGGTGGAGCCTACATAATGCCACTGCTGGGAGGAAGGTGACAAAGCTCATGGGACACTTAGGATGGAGGCAGAGGTGGTTTTAATGGGAAGTGATGGAATCACGGTTTACTCTCAGCATGTACTGAGGCTCCTGGGAAGAGTGTGACAATCTCTAATGGAAATAGTCAAAGGGGTTCTTCTGTTGGGATATGTTGAACAGGAGGCCTTTGGTCCTTCTGCCTGCCGCTAAGGGCTCAAAAAATTCTGTACAGGAAGGACTTAGGAGCTGCATTCTGTCAGAAAGGGGGCAGGAGGCAGGGACTTGCCTGCAAGCAGCATTCATACAGCAAGCCCACTGTTTTCACTTAGATGCTGTTTTTTGGGGGGTTTTCTTTAGAGTGGTTTGGCTAATCGCCTCTCTTCAAGCCGATGGTGATGCCTTTGACCAATTCCTTAGTCAATGAAATTCCCTGCCTTTTTAACAAAAAATCTTGTGCATTCATTTATCATCTGTATAAAAAAAGGACATGCAGTTATTGCAAATTTACTGCTTGCAGGGTCCATCAGCGGTTACAACTGTTTTAAAAATATGCACACGTATGTATTTAACCCCTGAACGACTTGACTAACATAGCAGAATATATCATACTAAAATCTGATGGAGAGTGTTGGCCTAATTAGTTGTTTATAATCATTTCAGAATGATTTGTTTTCCAGAGAGACTGAGCAAAATCATAATGCTTTTGACAGCATCTGTGCCAATGCTTTCCTGAAAGGTACTTATGTTATCAGCAGAATGGGAAACTAAGCTTTGCAAACAGTCTCTAAGACACTGTTTTGCACACAGTTCCTAAGAAACTTAGAATGGTCAATAAGCACTTTATCAGGGTTTTCTTGAACTTTTTCTAAGGACACCTAGATTATATGTGTTCCTAGAATGAGATAAAAGATTCTAATCATCATCACTGGTCTAAGACATTCAAATACATGTGTTTCATTCACCCAAATCTCCCCTATGGTTCTTTTCCTGTAGCACGTTAGATGACTCAGGCATTACAAGTACTTTGTTACCAAGCAAAGAAAGTGTGGCTCTTGCAACACTGCTCATAGGTCCCGCCTCCCGTCTGGCCTGCTTTCCCATTAGAGGGTGCAACACTATCGGGAACTGGCCTTTTCATCAGGGGTTCAGTCCCCTCCCGATGATCTCAGTCCCCAGTTTTGCATGTTTTGTATTTTATTCCTCTAATCTGTATGTTAGGTAGCCTTCACGTCGGTAAGATCCTGGGCACCTCGCAACTTGGCCTACCTGCAGTCTCAGCAGGTAGTCTCAGATTGTTCTTTAAAGCAAAGTCTAAAACTGTCATCTTTTCAGCAATTCCACTGCTTCCTTGGGGCACTATGGTGATTTCTCTGGACCAATCTCATAATTTGCTTCAGTGACACTCGGAGGTTGTCTTGTGCTTTCTCATTTTCAGTTACCTTTGTAGCCACCGTGAACATGGGCTCCATGCGACACCCGTCTCTTGCAGCCTACGGTGCTTTCTAACCATTTTCTATTTTGTCAGAAGCTCTTAACCCAATTCTGACTATTTGTAAAATGATTTCCTTTAACTTTTAGCTTCCTAATCTTAAAATCCCAACCTTTTTCCCCACTCACTTTATTTTTCAAAAAAGTCTATCTCCCCTCTTATTCATGCATGATATAGATGCTTGACTTTTACATCTTTTCTGCTTTATAAATCATTACTCTCTTATGCTCCCGTCTGCCTTATGGTGTAAACTTTGAAAGTACAGATTATAAACATAAGCTTGATTCTGCACAGCACTGAGCACAATGTCATGATCACGCCAATGCTTGTGATGATGATGGTGATGATGATGATGATGTCATGCTGTTCTGGTTTGAAAGTATCACATAGGTGGTCCAGTACATCATTTTTTTTTTTTTTTTGAGCTGTTCCTCATTCTATAAAGCTGTCATTCTTCATTAGCAAAAAAGGTTATAGTAAGTTATAATTACTGTTTAGTGCCCTGTCAAATAATTAAGTGTAATAAAAAGCTTTCAGTGAGTTTAATGTTAACATGGTGTAATTAAAGCCAAGTCTTGAAATGCATTAGGTGTCTGTTATGTCAGATATTTGAGGCTTTTCCCCTCTACAGATGAGATTTTCAAACTGTGCTTATAGCAATGTCATCATCAGAGACAAAAACTCACATCACTCAGGTGCAAAATAGGCTTGACAGTACCCAGCAAGGGCGATATTCAGAAAATCAAACAAATGAGTTATACGACCCTGTTATTTACTGATCAGGGGACCAAGTCCCAAAGATATTGTGTGACTTGCCCAAGGTCACACAGTGGTAATTAATTCTTCCTTGGTAGTAAGAATTGAGGTTTCCGGTTATACTGAAGGGATTATTATTTTAACGGTCATTCTCTCTTTCAGAAGTTTAAGATGTTTGCTGGAAAAAAGCTTATGTCTTTTTCTTGATGGGGTGAAAAAATATAGGCAAAGTAAAAGAGCATAATTTGTATTTAACTCTTGTACGTAATAGTCATTTTAGGATGCAGGGCTTGTCCTAGCACCTACTTGAAGGCTCAAATACAGAGAAAGGCTGAAATCTCACCATTTTCTCCTCAGAATACCTGGAATGTGCCTGGATACTTGGCCATTTCTAACCCTGCATTCTGAGCTTCTCAGGCCTTCTCTTGCGCATGTCCTATTCTCTTTTCTGTCCACACAGATTTTGAAAAATCAGCAGAGCACAAGTAGCCCCTGAAATAAAGGCGTCATTCAAGGAACAAAGAAGTAGGAGGAGGGCTCCAATTAAAATGATGAAAATCTTTCATTTTTATTTAGGTATACTTGTACGGACACGTGTATATACAAATACAGATCGTATGGGTTTGTCTGTGTGGGTTTTTGATTTTTTTTTTTACATTTTCTTTTAGGTTTATATAATGTCAGCATTTCAAAACAGCACTCGATGAGTCAGTGCAAAGGAACTGCAGAGCAGGGCAGCAGGACCACAGGACCACGAGGGGCTGGACTTCACACCCAGGCGCACACACAATGAGCGGCTTCAATGGGGTGTCAGGAGGAAGCATGGAAAGCGGATTCTGACTCATGGGTAACCTCCAGCGTGCCAGCATCTATTAAACTGTCCAGACAATGGAGCACGCCCATTGTAGGGAGATTTGTCTCACATCCGAGCAGCTCCGGGGCAAACGCATGGGAAAAACTCAGTGATGCCAAACCAGAGACAGACCTGCCCATTCACGGTTCCGAGGGAAAATGAAACGTGGGAGGAAGGCGAGAGACGAAAAAATAAACATAGGCAATAAAAGGGGGTTGTAGGCAAATGGGGCGCCGGTGGAGGTGGTTTTCAAAAGAAACACTAGTGACCACAGCTCAGAGCAGTGAATGGAAGGGAGGCATTTAAACTGTTTTTCTAATTTGGGGGAAATTATAAAAATGGCTGCTGCCGTTGCTAAGGCACCAGAGAAAAGCAAAGTTCCTGGAAACCCACAGGTACTGTGTAACTCGTCCTTTCCCAGTGACACAGCGGAAAACAGCCCCACTGCACCTTCCTGAAGGGACCGGTCGCAGCCTTTCCCACCCCGGGGCTGCGCGACGCTGGTAAGACTCTTCCTGGGGAAAAACAAAACTCTGAAAACCACCACAAAGGAAACCAAACCAAGTACAGAGCTGTTTTTCAATTTCCTAAACCTTTTCAAACCAACATGCTGGGGTGGAAAACACACACGCACACACACAATATACACACACATGTGCACGCACCATAGGGCTCCAACATCAGACCTTGAAAAGTGGTCAAAAAAGTCATGTTGTTCCAGGTCCCCAGACGGTGGAGTCTTAAGACTGGGAGCGCGAGGACCACACGGTCCTGCGTGGAGCAGTGTCTCGGTCATTTGTGACTCTTCTCCAGCAAGTATACATTGGATGTTTCAAAGCCTCAATGCATGTTTTGTATCCTGAAAGACTATTGTTCTCACTTACAAAAGACATAAGAATCAAATTAATACTTTATTATCAAACACTATATACAACAGAGGTTGCTAATAATACAGAATTTAAAGAACGCAGTTTTTTTTTTTTAATGTTTTACTTTTCTTTCCTCTGCCACCCAAGAAAGTACAGTACAAAACAATAGTCTAAACTAACACAAACTGTTACCTGGTCTATTAAAGGATACACGGTATCCACTAAACAGACAGATCCTTATTTCCCTGCTTCATGTTGCAAAGCCCTAGGCAACCAGGGGCAAAGGTCGCTGGGGTTTGACTCGCTGGGGCTGGGAGGCAGCTAAGGCTGCCTGCCCTTCAGACTTTTGAATTGTTTTTGAAGTTAAAAGCTGCTACAAAGTTGCATCGACATCTTCCTAAGCCCCCAGAGGGATGTAACACCACCACAAAAGGCCACCAGCACTTTTTGGACAAGATGAAAACTGCCTGATACCAATCATCTTGAAAGCACGGCAAGCGTTACCTACAATCACATCACTTATAGGTCGAGAAGCACACTGTCTACTGGTGTGGGTAGTCTTGCTACTGGCTTTTTTTGTTTGTTTTTGTTTTTTTACTTAATTTGTAGTGGCACAATGGTGAAGGAAAGGGGTCTAATTTTACTGTGAAAAATGAAAGAGTGGCAGAGAGGGCCATGAGTAATTATTTCATCATTTGTTAGAGACAAATGCTAGAAAAACCACAGAAGTCACCATTTCTAAAATGAAATTAGCACTGCTAATGTAGTTATGACTAACTGGAATCATTACAGGATCATTTGATTTCCTTGTGGTTATAGAACATGCAGTATTATTTTGGTTCTGACTATTGATCCATTTTAGAAGGTACCTCTTTCCCCCCTACCCAAATCCCACTGCACCAACAAGCCTGTAACTATTCATAAGAAGAAGTATTACTGGACATTACTGAGAGTACTGAGCATATAAAGGAAAAAAAGAATCCAATGCTGTGAACTTTTGTTTCAGCGAAATGGTGGCTGCCTTCTGTGATAAGACTCTGCCACTCCAGAGAAGGTCCCGGCGTCTGGGGGAGTGGGACCGACCGGGTCTGCGAGGCTGGCAGCCCCGCTCACTGGCTCCAAGTGCGAAGAGACCCAGCAGCAGCCTCCGCTCCGCACGGATTCGGGTAAGCGCAGATTACAGTTCAACACGTACAACTCTCCAGCGGGCAGCACTTCTACAGCTGCCTTTCGCTCACATACTTTTCTAATTCAGAACTACTCAAAATTCTCAAATTCCCATTCATGAAATCTGTCCATAATATGACACCCCCCCTTTTTTTACACATACATTTTTACGTTGCTGGAATTCCGATTTTTCACATCTTACATGATCATCGCATATATTTCTTGTTTTGTTTCGAAAGGCATGGTTTCTGTTGATGTGTCGTGCAATAGCAAAAAAGGCAAGATTTCTTTTCCTCGGTCTGCCGCTCTTCCCTGCCCAGGCTTCGGAGTTCAAAGTTCGCGACAGCCTCACCAGTAGAAACCCCCAAGGCTTGCATTTCCTGGTAGCTAACTGGAAACAGCATCCCTTGCTGGCCATGCTGAGATTCTTTACGCAGGGTCATCCTGCATTCATTCTCTGTCCGCCCCACCCCCACAATGAAACAAGGTAGCCCCCCATATTTCTAAATGTATCAAGGGATACCACTTTTTCTCACAAGTTTAAATAGGACAAGCATATATACTCACTCTCAGCATAAAGTATATCTAAATAATGTATTTTCTATTCTAGTGGATTTTTAAAAAAATATTTTGTTAAAGTCTTTGGGACTCCATCTTGTTTATCTCCCACAGATAAACACATGTTCCCCCTACTCTTCAGGCTGTGTCAGAAAGGGAAAGAATATAAAATCAACACTTGAATTTTTTTTTTTTATTCCACACTTTGGAATTTTTATTCCAAATTTCCCTTTAGCCCTCCCAAGTAGTGCTGACTGACTCTCCGGGTGACAGGGGTTTGTGTCGGAGCCCCTGTCGTCGCGGAGTGCGGAGCAAAACGTGGGTACTAGGGTGGGAGTCGGGGAAAGGCCACAGTCCACTGGCGCTCCAGCAAAGCCAAATCATATCCTCTGGCCACTGGCATCTTTTCCTCGGTTCATACTGTGCCCCAGAGGAGTATCCAAAGCTATTCCATTATGCACTCATCAACCCTGGCTTGTCAGCCTCGGGGAAGGTCACTTTATTCATAAAAATGCCTCTTTGAGTTTCTTTAAAAACAAACAAAAAAATAGTTGTAGCACCATGGTGATCTGTATCCAAAAGGGAAAAAATCTGATGTACACCGCCCAGTCACCGAAAAAATTAGAGGCACTCGTACATACACAACACCCCACCAAACTGAAGTTTTCTCTGATGTCACCCTGCTCTGTGCTAGCATTCCGCACCCCACCCGCCTCCTAGCAAAAAGGCTGCTTCCACGGAGCACACGCTTTGCTGTCAAGAATGCTTTAAGACAGTCATCTAAAAAAAAAAAAAGTCTCGACCTTTTAGAAGCCTGTTCATTTACACACCCTAGAGGAAATAGTGTAATATTATATATCTATTCTTAATACCTCCCCTCTGGACTTGACATGGTGACAATACCCTGCACGCCTCTTACAGCCCTGAATGAAAAGGCATAAATACCGCCCGGGAGAGGAAACCCTCGGGGCCTCGCCCTCCCCGCCGGCTGCACCCACCTGCTGCTGACAGTGCGCCACTGGAGGTGAGCTCAGAGGAGAGTGCACAGGCGCTGATGACCACGGGTGTCACTACGACAATTTGGCATTTTCATCTGGAGTCCATTTAATTTGGAAGGGGTGAGAAAAGTCAAGGGCAAGGGCTGGGGGTGGGGTGAGGGAGGCAGCAACTACTTTAGCCCCTCCCCTGGCCCCAAGTTGTTGCTTAGAATTCAGGCTGAAAGAAAGAAAACAAAAATCTGACATCTGCCAAAAAAAAAAAAACCCAAACCAATAACAAGTCCCTTCTTAGGATGAGCAGTTAGGTGGATCTCTGGTGTTCCAAGACCCTGGTGTTTTCTGTGACAGGTGACGGGAGGAGACTGTGCTATAATGTCAAAAGCGTCGCCAGGAGGAACAGTAGGATTGCCAAAAGGCGGCTGGGTATCCTTGGTGTTTGTGCCGCGTTTTCGCCGCGGGATGGCTCGGCTGACTCATGTACGGTGTCATCTGTTCAAATAGAAAGCACACATTCCAATGAGACGTCACATCCTTAATAACCCTCTCGCAGCAGCCTGCTGTTCACAGGCCTCGCCACCCTCTGCAAAGTAAGGTAATGAACCTTGTGCCACCCTTGACTTTCATGTCTGCATAATCACTCATTATTTACAGTAAACAAAGAAAATTGGACTTTCTCAGCAATACTGTTTCCTTAAAAAATCGAGGGAGTGGAATTATGCACACACTGTAACCTTTAGCATGTGAGCTCATCCGGTAGGGAGCAGCCAGAAACACCTTGCACAAACCTGAGATACCGGAATGGACTTTTTAAACCCAAGATGCCACAGAGAAGCAAGTAACATGTCCAGGGTGGGGACAGTTATGTTGGCATATTAGTGGTTAACCGGAATGGGCTGCCCATTTTAAGCAGTTTCATAGGATTAGGGTTGAACGCCTGGTTGTTGGAAGCCTAGATGAATGTCCAAATATGAAAGATCAAATGCCAAAACAGCAGCATTTAAAATAAACTGTATCTAAAGCCCACTAAACCTCAGTACACCAGCACCCACTGGTTTAGCTTACAATTAGGCATTAATTATGGTGTTATTTCCATTGCAAACCCTGTAGCTCCAGGATTAAATTACTTGAATTTAACTATTTTTATCAGGTTGAAGCTTGGCACATAAAAATTATCGGCGTGGATGCAAATTTTCCTCTAAATAAAATGGATTAAGTGAGGTAAGCTTCTTTTACTGAGCTATAAAGTGTTCTCTGAGGCTGCCTCTGACTTTCCAGAGCCTTCCTGATCTGCATGATTAACAGGCTTAACTTTGAAACAGGAAATTTGCAGCAATTAGGACCCAAAGATAGATTGGAGGCTTCCCTCTGAGGCATGGAATGCTCTAGGGTTGCCCATCTCCTTCCTCCCACCTGGCCTAACACATGCTTTTAGACTAAGTGATCTCTGATCTGTATGTTCTTGGGACCAACAGTGGAGTTCTGTGGTGGATTTTACTTCAGCACCAGGGGAACTTCCCAGAGGAGCTCAGCCATTGTCATCCTGGCTTCGCTGAATGTCAGAACGGTGACAAGTGAGACTCTAGTGGTTGTACTCCATTTTGTAGGCCTCAAAGGATAACCCTTAAACATCCCTGAATGACCCACCTCAAACCCCTTAATGGATTAACTATGTTTTAAATTTGCTTATAGAGGGTATCTCCCAAAAAATGTGTATACACTTTAACAGCTGATAGCTCAATTTTGAAAATGAAATGTATTTTAAGAAACATTGCCTTTATAATTACACCTTTATAATTATTCAAAATGTGTATGTACATTGTTTGGGGACACCCTATATTTTCATACCATACAACATGTCACAATGAGGCTGCTTTTCCTTCACTGGGTGGAGTCACAGTTATTATTTGTCCTAACGTGACCCCTTTTCAGCCCCTAGCTCCTGCTTCAGATACGCCAGTGTGGGCTGTTCCCAGCAGGAACTAAGAAGTATGTTTTCCCAGCTTTGCATCTTCTGGCCTGGAGGGCTCTTAGGTTAGCCTGTCCTGCACAGAAGCTGCTGCATCCCAAAGCCATACTGGCTCCCTTTGCCTGGACCGTAGCACACCTGCAGAGAGTGGCTATTAGAGTAGGAGACTAGAAGACTAGAAAAGGTTAGGAAGCAAGGATGGGAAGTTAAATGGATGCAGAGGGAAATATAAAGCCCCACAGAGTTTATAGCCCAATACTTGTGGAGTCTTCTTTTTTCCTCTGCTCTTCCTCAGCTTTGCAAAGGTACTAAGTCTGTAGTTAACAGGAGGTACATGTAAATGCCCTTAATAGCCCTGAAATTAAAATCCAAATAATTTCTTAAGGGCAGCAATATGTTGTCAATCAAAACAAGAGTTAATTGAGAAAAAAACAACAAACACATAAACCCTGAGGATTGCAGAATTCATTTCAAAATACTTATTTTACACACCTGAAGTTACATCAGCTATTGGGTTCTTCTCCACCTTATTTTTACTAACCTATTTCCCTGTCCTCAAGGTTGGGAATATACTGCTAAAAGATACCCAAGTAACACTTAGGTGCTCAGTGTGAGCTGGAAGGGGACCAGCCCTGCCTGTCCCATTCCTCCAGGGTGCTCAGCGAGGGCTGGCCATTGCTCCAGGCCCACAGCACAAAACAGGGTGAGAGTGACCTTCAGGACACTGAAGGAAAGCATCTGTTGTTTGTATGAGGCTAGATGTGCTTCTTGGTCCTGTGGTTGTGTACCATCCTGCCCTCAAAGGGGAAAATCTGTCCCATTAGGCATCACGGCTCTTCTGTTCTCCCTGCAATAGGCTGGTCCTGGCTTAGGATTCTACAAAGCATGTGTTGATTGAAACAGGGCCTCACTGTTAAGATTCTATGGCTCCTGAGAAGCAGAATGAGAAATGTGCTGCCATTTGGGTCAATCAGAACAATTTCAGAATTCTAAGAGAATTCATAAGCACAATCTATCTCAATGGAAAGTACACCTAAACGTGCGAGAATTTCTAACACTTGTAACAGTGAATGTGGCTTGTCTCCTGGCTACAGGATTCCACCACACGAGGGCTTCCATGGTTAACTGGAAGGACGCTAGCAATAATTTGGAGCATATTATGTGGCATATGTCTGCCCTGAGATCATCCTGTATCCCTGATGATAGGAAACTGGCAGGCAGAGTGTGCAAGCAAACATCAAAGACAAATACATTCCAAAGACAGGTGAATTAGTACACATTGCCGAGAACATGCAGCGGGATCCTTCAGGCCTGACGGATTCAAAGCCTGGGCCTACACTCACCTATGCAGCAGTGTTGCAGAGCTGCAGAGCTGACTGAATTTTCTAAGGAATAGGATGAGATACTCAAACTTATTAATGATCGCATTTAACACGTAAGGATGGTAGTGCAACCATGTCTTACTTTTGCAGTGAAGGTGCTCACCAGAAAGCCCTTAAGCACAGTAGTGACTGACTCAGGAGCTTTTCCTGCATGTGTACCTGGGCAGGTACACCTGCATGTCCACTCCTCCCCTCCCCACACTCTGACTACATTCTGTCAAACTTCTGCAAACTTCCATAAGCTATATGAGCATAGATTTGGGGGCCATCATGGATTTTTTAAATGCTCAGTGAAAAAGAGCCTGTTTCTCAAAAGACTGACATATGCTCATGTATGAATGCATCCTAATATGTTGCATTTTCCTATTGTCAGAACAGTCCTCGGTGTGCCTCTTCAGTAGCAGAGTAAAACATACTATGTGTTATGTTTCTAAACAGCCTCTTGCTCTCTTGACAGGCAATGGAATTTACCTGGAAAAGAGATTATTAGAAAGATTCGCTAAGTGTGCATCAGGAAATCATAATTTGTGGTAAGTTATGTTGATAATGTTAGTGCCTAACTTTGCTGGTCATTCTGTGCATGACATTAACAAAGCCAACAGTAAAGTTCTCTTTATGAACATCTCTGGTAACAGGTATGAAAACCCTACTTTTAACATTGGAATGGGAGTTGAGAGATCTGAATTTAAATCTGGATCTGCCTCTAACTAGCTAGGGGACCTGGGCAAATCTCAGTTATAAAAGGAAGAGTGTATACTCTATAGTCCTTCCAGGAGATCCCACCTAACTCACAGATCCTGTGATGTCCCGAGTCCTCGAGCTCATGAGGAGTCTGGTGTCTTGAAAAGCCACAGTGGTGCTTCCAGGAAACAATTAAAATGTCTCCACCTCAGCACTCATTTCTTGCAACTTTCTAAAGCGGCTAAGTGATCCCTAGGGAGCCAGGAGGGCCTCTGAGAGCTTATTGTACACACCTCTCATTTGTGCTCTGGATAAGATGCCTGCCTTAGAAAAACAAGAATGCTTGGGGGGAAAAAAACCTAACTCCTCCTGTCAGTTACAATGTGAAAGCTATTGTATGTCCTGAGGCACCGCATTTACTCAGGCTAAGTTTCCCTAAGGCTCACTGACTGTGTCCCCCAGTAATAATACTCAAAGGAAAATTTCCAGGACAGTAAGAAAGAAGTCCTACTGCAAATGGATGAAAGAAAGTCTGTTTACATAAGGGGGGTGGCTCACATCTTTCTGTGGAGGGGAAATGTTATTTCCCTTACGCTTTGAGATGATCATAGGAGATGAGTAAGGAAATCAGTCAAGATTGCGAGGAAAGGAAACCACAGGAAGGCGAGCGTACAGGGGCATCGAGGCACACTCCTCAACGAACAGTGGGCAGGGGGCCCCCACTTCTCACAATCAGTGCAGAGTTGCATTAAATAGCCAGGTTGAATTTATAACCAAACGGACAGTTTACAGGCTTACATTATCTACAGCAGTCTACAGTATAAATGCTTCCATGAATGTTTTTGTGGGTTTTACTTTTCTTCACAGTGATGGGAAAGTTTGAGTGTGTAGAAGTCAGTAATAGAAAAAAAATTATTTATCCTTAATACTTATTTTGCCTCAGTAATCAAAGATCACATTTGCCTCGGCAGACTAATACATTTGTGGGAGCAGCAGGTGTGTGAATTCGTGGTATTAGGAGGCAACGTGATTCTACTTCTCCAAATCAATGACTATGAACAAGAGCACAAATAATATTTGAAATGAAATATAGTTTTTAGATCACTTCGGTGATGCATGTGAATTTCTGGAGAAAATTAAGTATGTTGAATTAGTTACTGTCTTATGCAATAATAGTCGTAGTACTTTTATCCACAGATTTGGACATAATATAAAAGAAAATTTTATAAGCATATACAATAGAAATGTTTTTGCCTTATTACCCATTAATATTCAGGGTGACTCACCAGCATGCTCGGAGGATATGGTAAAAAGTAGTGAGGTTTTAGCATTCTGATGGGGCTCTACATTAGGATACTGCATTATATCAAATCCATGTCCAAAAAAAGAAAAGTCATTTTCTCTAACATGCACTACACAGAGATACTGGAGGAATGAGGTAGAATATAAGTAATATTAGCATTGCTAGCAATGAGCAAAAAGCAGAGCAACTCTAACATGCACACATGCGAGAGGAAGAAAGGAAAAAAAGTACTGAAGCACCAGAGAGATGCATTGGTTAAAAGAGATTCTCTAAGCATACTAACCTGCTGGTTCTAATGAATTTTCTACTTTGTCGTTAACATCGAAAACACGATCATGAACACCTATAGTTTTCATACAGCTATCTATAACAAAAATAGAGATAACAGCCAAATATGTTAGTGCAGACACCCTTAAACTCCCGTTTCTTTTTTTTCTTTCTCTCTTTTTTCCTTTTATTTAGGTAGAGATTGTTTTACAATCCGTGGCATGTATCCAAATGCCAATATTGTTCCCATTTGCTGTGCACATACAACAGTCTAAGAAACAACAAGTTAGCAACTGCTGTGTACTTAAAAAATAAAAGCATCATGAAGAATGATGGGAAAAAATCTGATGAAAACTAAAATGTGAATGTTGATATACAAAACAGATACCACACAGGATTTAACAGTAAAAAAAAAAAAAGTGTTACCGCTGTGAACCAGACCACACACTCAAGCATGCGCAGTGAAGCCACCCTCTGGAGCTCATTCGAGAACTTACTTGTCGGTCTCACGAAGACTTTGAGCTTGAGACAGGACCTTCTTCCGTTATCTGGGATCGCAGAGGCTGTGGTTGAGACAAAGAGCAAGAGAGGAGAGAACAGCAGATTACTCTCCATTTCCAAATGCAAGCGGTCTGCAATCCATTCTTTCCTAAATAAGAGGAGCAAACTCTGGCATAGACTCTTCCAGAAAGGGCTGCTTTCCTACCCCTGTGTTCTCTTTTCAATACAATGAAGAATCATGCAAGAATGTTGGTAATCGCCAGAAAATACTTTGGACTTTTATTTCAAAGCTCTTCCATCTAACTTGATCTGTTATCAATTTTCTATGAAATAAGAAGATAATGCTTGAGCTTCTCCTCTACTGCAGGAAGAGGGGCCCAAGGTGAAAGTGCTGGCAAAAGCCAATAGCAGATAGTTAGGAGGCCAACTTAAACACCACCTAGCTGTGCTGGGGAAAGCAAAGCTTTGTCTGTCCCGAAAGCCCGCCTGTCAGTGCCTTGCAGGTATTCAGTGAGAGGGGCTGCTCAGAGCTTGGCTCCGCACGGCCGTGACCGCGGAGCCCGCCACTCCCATCACGCTATTATAAGTACAATATGCCATTGAGACGGCGCTGGGCGATGGCACGTTTGTGTTTCAAGATTTGCCACAGAGAGGGATGGAATTAATAAAGTGGGCTTAAGAAAACATGACAACATGTTTCAAGTTATAAATCATTTGAGGAAGAAACTTTCTTCTCCTTCTCAAGATAATAAGACCGTAAACCCTCCCTGCGTTTGAAAGATTCTCTCCCCTCGGTACACGCAGCTTAACGTCAAAGGGATTTCCAAGGGCGGCAGGACCCCGGCCCATCACATGTGTTGACGAATGCATTCTAGAAATGACAAAAATTACAGAAATGAGCGCTGCATACTTTCCTCCCTGTGTGCCTGCTTCAAGTGGTTTCTTTGTTCAGACAGAGCAGATGACATCAATCAAAACACACATGGCTTATAATTTGCCTGGCGATACCCTCAGTGACAGAGAGAGATGGCAGTGTTTGGTGTGCCCCCTCTCTCCTTGATCTGTACCCTTCGCCAGTCTTCCTCGGGGCGCCCAGAAAACGAAAAGGCTTATTTTGCAGGTGAGAGGATTTAAGATGCAAATTCCAAACTGATTTTACACGAATCTCCTATAATTCCAGATCCCATCCTGGAGAATTTATAAATTCACCACCTAACAGACATCAAGCTGCAGAGAACCCCAGCGTCGCTATTCAACACCTGTAGGAGACTCTTAATTCTGACAAAAGTATACAGAAAAGATGTTTTCGGTCTTCCCATCTCCCCTGTTCGCTCTGACAAGCAGTTAAGAAGCGTTAACAGCTGGCTTTGCTGTAGGCTTTCATTAAATCAAAGTCGGGAAAACTCCCTCTACTGACATTTACAGTAACTAGTGTGTTATTTAGGGCACAATATTTGCACTCTGTGGTTTGATCCAGGAAACGGTGTCCTTCCTGTGGACCCCCAACTGCAAACGTGTGTCATCAATACAGTCCACATAGGCGACTCCTATCCATCAGGAAAACCATGGGTTCTTGAGATTGTTTATATCTGTCATGAGAGGTGGTGTGAAAAAGTGACACACGGGCATTGACGCTGCGGCTGTGTGGGTTTCTGAGCTGAGATGAACTCACCACAAACCTCATGAACTTGATTTGCCACACGCACGAACGGATTTTTCTCAACAACACTACAAAGATGTTACAGGCTCAAGGCAGAATCAAATGTTTAATTGGTTTAGTGGCGAAACTTCTTGGAATTGATTAGTACAGGCCATTCTGATTTATATGTAGGAGAAATCCTGCAAACCCAGGACATAAAAATCACTGTAATAACTAAACAGCAACAAATGATAAGCTGTCCAGGAAAAACTGAAGAGAGTTCTCCCACCCTCTCTCAAAGAGGGACATTTAACCTCAGCTGCTGGATGAGTTCCATTCTTCTGTGAATTAAGAATATAAAATGTACTTCTATTTATATAAAATAAAAGCCTCTCTTTCCCATCAAACTTCTCCATTGTTCCTCATCTGTCATCAGAAGTGCTGTGACGATAATGTGACTGACACCCTGTGACACTGTTTGTTATCCTCTGGTCCATAGAAAAAATGAACAAAGAACATAAACACATACTGTGAGTACACAATGCAGATTACAGTAAATCAATGGACTCTACAGCCTCTGACCTGAGCTCATAAAGTAAACTCTTGACTTTAAGGGTTAACTTTAGTGGGTGAGCCTTGCTCAGTCAGTTTAACTAGGGTTCCTTATTTCCCACACTGAAAAACAAAAAAAAAGAAGTGTAAGACCTTTTTCCATATATCAGCAAAACTCATTTTTTTACGCAAAGCTTGAAAGAGTACGAGTGTGGCTTTATGTTATGTTTCAGGTTTCTTAACCCCAGTCCTTGGCTGACTAATGTAGGATGCCTTTATTTCACTTTATTAATAGTAATGGTTGAAGCTATAAGGTAATATCAAAGTGCTTTCTAGTCACAAGTAAACAAAAAACCAAGGGTTGAGCATTAAAAACAAAATAACAGAGGAATTGAAAAATGAAATATTCATACAGTAAATATACAAAGAAAATCCTCTCGAGATCAATTATGAGGAAAAGAATTGAAGACGGAAGTGAGGGAATAAAAACTTAAAATGTGCCTGTTTTTGTCAGGAGGTAGGTAATACTAATCCCTATGATTCTAGAGACATCCCTTTATAGTGACCAATATTATCTTAATTAAAACAAAATTTAAGTTCTTATGCTGCTTTCCTTAGAAAATTAATAGTGAACATTTGATAGTGAAGAGTTACTAACATGCATTATATTACTGCAGCTTTGTACATCCATTCAAACGCATTTAAAATCCCTACTATGTGCCAGTTTCTCTATCAGGTGCTGTGGATGCAAAGATGTATGGGACAAACTCCCTATCTTTGTGCTGTGCTTATTCCAGCTGGGGCCATAAATATTAACCAGTTTAGGGCACTGGGAAGGATCCCTGAGGTAACTGAGGTCTGCAAGTGTTGCCAGCACAGCTTTGGGCAGGGAGTTAGCTTTGTCCCGGAGTGTGAGGGTGTCTCAGACATGTTTGTCAGAGGGAGATTTATCAAGGCTTCACAAGTTCTCCGGAAGCTAACCAATAACCCCTGGCAGAACGAAAATAATTTGTCCCCAAATTCCCAAACGGGAGGTGTAGTGACCAAGATGAGGCATTAACAGGTAAAGAAAACCTAGACCTGAACTCTTCCTCTAAGATATATGGATTTTTCTAGTAGAATTTGTCAAATTAAAATGAGAAATTCAACTCATGTCTTAAACATTTGTTCACATAATTCAAAATCCTATTCTTTGCTCAGTTTACTGCTGAAAATGTACACTTGGAGTCAGGAAGCCGAGAACAGGGGAATGGGGACCATTAAAACAAGTACAACCTCCCACTCCATGATCTTAATAGCAACTTTATAAATCAAACCATAGGGTCCTTTTCCCCTAATGATCTGCAAAGTACCAATCAAAACCTTACAACACACAGTGAAATATTACCTGGGGGCCCTCTGGTTCTCTCTGCTTGGAGTATCATGCTAATAAGGCAACGAGGGCTGCTTAGCTTCACTCTGTTCCATGATCTCAGACAGGGGCTCTACCTTCAGCCACTTCTGCAAACCTGTTTCCTTGGTCTCCTGGGGCTCAGGTGAGCACGGCTCAGCACTTACCAGCCAATTTGATACATAAAGGGGAACACATTCAATGCCCCAAAATCAGTACTTCCGAAAGCTGTATTTGGCACTGCAAATATATGTGATATTCAAGTCACAATCCACTTCAGGCCTCCTGGGGCTGATGCGGTAAGAGAACACTGGCATCACGCTTGGGGTTGGCAGCTTCTGACCCGGCTCCAGTGACCCCCGGCTCCAGTGACCCCCGCCTCCTTTTATGCGGCCCTGTGTGTTCCCCTCCCCTGAGAGTGGGCTGGACCTACTTCCTTGCTTTTCTAATGAGCAGAATGCAGCAAAAGTAATGGGATGTCACTTCTGTGATTACTTTGCAGAAGACCGTGACTTCCTTCTCACTAGTGCTCTCTTTCTTGCTGTCCCTCTTGCTCGTGAAGCAAAGTGCCATATAGTGACATTCTCAATGGAGAGGCCCAAGTGGCAAAAAAACGGCTGCCTTAGTGCAACAGCCCACAAGGAACTGAGTCCAGTGCCGCGAGTGGGCTAGAATGAGAACCCTCGGCAGAGTCGTGAACCGACTCACCTAGTGAGAGACTCAGACCCAGAGGACCCAGCTAAACTGCTCCTGGATTCCTCATCCACAGAAACTGGGAAAAAATGTTGTTTTAGCCACAAATCGGGGAGTAGTTTGTTTCTCAAGAGCTAACTGATTTGGTGCAATCAAAGGCTGCCCATGGCGGGCTTGCAGCCCAAGGACTGAGACGCTGGTGTGTGCTCTGCTGAAGGCCCGCCTGGCCCTTGCTCCCAGAGCAGCGCCTTCCTCACTCAGCTGCCTTCTCTAAACAACTGGATCCTCCACTCCTTCACTTCTCACGCTACTGTTACAAGTTCCCTTAGAAGAGGCCTCAGAGAGTGGTAATTATAAACTGCTGTTGAAGAAACACTACAAGACCTATCTATTTATTTTCACTCCGGCACTTAAAAAACTGTTTTTCCTTTTCTGTCCCATGCCACTTAGTTTGTTTTTGCTAATGTAGCCAACCTGTGCTGTTCCTTGCAATTAGCACGATGTCTCATGTTAAGTCTAAATTGCTGGGTAAACCTAAATGATCTTTGATACAAAGTGTAAACTTAACTCATAAGAGAGAATGCTGTCCCTCAAACATGAGAAGTAGAACATAAAGGCGAGCTTAAAAATACCTGCAATAAGAGTTTAAATAAGTTAAAACTTCTCTTCATATAAAAAACCCATCAGTTATCTTTTTACACAGCCCATCAAATTATCAGATGGACGTGCTGCCTGCTGCGCCGAGGAGGCCAGGCTATCGAACTCAATACAAACATGATTTCAAGCAA